ATGGGTGATAAAACGACATCGGGTTAAAATGTTCACGACTTTTCCGAGGCGTACTGGTCCTCTGGCCCAAGTACACTCGCACAGGGCCGCCACTAATTCAGAAGCTCCTTTGTCGCGGTGAAATTGCGAAGATTAAATGAGACTATTTCTTTTAGTCTTGCCTTCCCAAGGATTGATGTCGCAATTGTAGGGTCAAAACCACCCGCCTGACGACAGTCGAGCGCGGCTCATGGATTAGACAGGAGGACTGCGTGAGCACCGTACATCGGCTCGTAACAAACAATGCCTCGGTGGAGACTTGGGTAGTGGCTCTTGTCCAACCACTGCGGTGATGAGAATAGCCGAACTCTAACAGTGTCTGGAACTGAACATGTGTTTTCTTCCTTAAAACGCCAGCGCAGGGGTATGATTAACGTTGGCGGCATAAGATAGGCACCAGGCCACATGGCCGCTTCTGGCTCCGAGTTGAGGGGATGAACGATGCTCATATTTCTCGAATTTTTTGGCGACTGCCATTGCCTAGAAAAAAAATAGCAAAGCCAGGTTCAGTCAGTTATTAACGTTAGGGAGTGATCCTGAGTAGTATTTAGTAATGTATAGAAATCTTTTTATAGCTCCTTTAAGCAAAGTACAGAGGAAGTCGAAACTTGGGCAATAACTTTAGAACGACGCTCGTGTGAGAGTTACAGCGACTGCAGTGCCAACGTTCGGCTGTCTCTCTGAGGTCACTAAAATATATATTTTTTTTTTAGTATTCCTTCCATACACACGTGTAGTTCTATGTCACGTCATATTAATAAGTCGCATTTAGTAATTTCAGTACTTCTATTCTCACGAACATCTTTCGGATGCAGTTCAGCAACAACGAAAAATATTTGGGTGCCTCAAACGTAAAATGGGTCTTGCAACATTTTTCCTTGTACTTTTAATAAATACTGTTAAGAAGTAACCCCTAACGTTTATAGCTTGCGGAAACATCCATTAGTTTTCCCCTAATAGCACATGCAGAAAAAATAAAGGAAAGAGACAGCTGTCGATATCTCCTCAACTCGCAATTCAAACAAGCGGCCACGTGATCTGACCCTAATTATATACCGCCAGTGTTCATCACAGTCATGCTCTAGGCGGCTAGGGTTTGAAAAACAAAAGCTTGAGCTGAGCTTCAGATATTGTTAGAGTTGGGCTATTATCATATGTAATTGACATGAGCCGTTACCCGAATGTTTGGCGGTGCTGATTGTCATGAACCCGAGTACTCCACTGGGGGTTTTGAAAATCGCTTCCGTCACGGTGTCACGTGACTCTCGGTGCGAAATCGTGATATCATGTTACGTCACGCTGTCAACAATGTTAATACATCAAGTGACTTCCTCAAATTAAATCGAGTTGACGCGGTGAGTCACGTGACGTCACGAAGTCACGTGACAACATGTATTGACACCATGGCGTCACGTGACAACGTGACACATGGTTAATCATAGTGCCATGAAAACCCACAACTTACCATACTTTTCAATTCTGTATATGACGATTTGATCCATAGATAGAAATACAGCCGCCAATTTTTCAATCCCATATGTTCATTTTGTGATACTAACAAAAAAAAATATTACATTGAACCGTTTTGAACCGGTTACCGTTATATTTTTTTTCGGTTCGGTTCCGGTTCAGTTCCAATATGGCGGCGAAGATTTCGGTTCGGTTCAGTTCCAGTTCGGCTAAAAATAACGGTTCTGTTCCGGTTTTCGGCTCGGTTCGGTTCCGGTTCGACACCCTGGTTCTGGCCTTATTACTAATCAAAACCACTAAAAGCTTTTATTTTTTTTAGTCGAAATACAACAGATAAGTGGCGCGAACCGTTTAATTTTTTTATGAAAGTAGTTTTTGTTCAGTATTTTAGATCAGAAAATAAATAAATGTAGTTTATAAAGTACGGAAGCAAGAAATGACCCGTCGACATACCCGCCACCAAGCGGCGGAAGAGGCGGCGCATACTAGAAAAGGGTAGTGGGATCAGGTACCACACGAGCGGCGAGCGTAGAAAGGTCCCGGATGTACATGTTCGCGCTGCGGTCGTATGGGCTTGAAGATCTTACCGGTTCCGAGTGTTCCGAAGGCCTTCGGCGAGCAGGTGTGGCTTGCGGTTTGGACGTTTGGCGGAATGGCAGCGGGAAGTTGCTCCCGTTTTGAACTGATATTTACCCCGTGTTTGCTGTCGTTTGTGACCAATGAACTGTCATGCCGAATTAGTGTTTAGTCGCGCAGCAAATCCAATGCGAGCCGCCCTGGCCGCCCGCTTCATACAGCCTATCCTGCGCACGTCGACACAGAGTGCGGCAGCCGTGAGCGCTCGTTGAGCTCCCTTCTCTAGTTCACGGCCACTCAAGCCAGGACCAAGAACGTCATGGAGTAGGTTATTTTTTGCTTGTTTATGTAATTTTAATTTGCCCCTAACTTTTAAAGTAAAGCAAAATTCGAGAAAAGAAAATTTTCATTAAGTTATTACGTTCAGTGCGCTCAAGTTCGGTGCAAAAAAAAAAAAAAGTCAACAAGTCGTTGCAGGGCTCCTTTAAGTTGAGATTACGGTGGGAACCACGTGCCCGGTGGACCAATCAGCCGCCTCCCTTTTATCACCTGACCCAACTCTTCGCGCGTGGGTATGGCCGGGAGCGTGGTGACGTTGCGAAAGAGGCGTAGGACTGGTCCAACGAGGTCGTAGCTTCCACTGCAGACTCAGCTTAGGGGTGAACGGAGCATAAACTGGACATTTGGCGAAAAAGTCGGCGACAAACTCGGCGGCCGTCATTGGCCAACGCCGCACTTGGCCTTGGCGCCGGCAAATCATAGCCGCCGGATTTCTCGCCAACTTTTTCGCCGAATGTCCAGAGTAGGGCCCCTGGTGGAGATATATGCGTGCGTATTAGCATGATGCTATAGGTATTCTGCTGATACGAGGCTTTGTTATGGCGGGCTATCTTCCGCTCACTCCGCAGCTAACATGGTGGTGGATGCTACATGATCGTTGGACCACTAATTCGTCGATTTTTCGCCACGTCACGTAATTTTGCGCGGAAGCACGTAGCCTCCGCCGCGCTATCATGTGGCCATCGCTTGCTCCCGGCGGCCGACAGCGGTCCTACGATTCATGCCTCATGTGTCCTATCACCGCGCTACTATCGGTAACCTGGCAGCAGCGTCACAATGGCAGAGACCAGTTAATTTGTTGAAAATTGGGTTCCAAATGAAACGGAGCAGGCCAAATATTTTAAGAGATTTAAGGGCTCGTGTTTATATTTACTTCTGACCAATGCCTACACAGACAGGGATAAAATGCCCCGTCTGCCCATTTTTGTTTGCCTTTTCTTCTTTATATGTGGGAAGAAAATGAGAGAGAGAGAGAGAAAGAGAGATAGAAATGAGACAGCGCAGGTGCAACACCGCTTAGAAGACAAGGCCGTAGTGCTGACATTTTTGCTTCATTAGCGAAGTCCAACGCTGGACACAGATGGGAAACGAGTGCTGCGTCGGCGTTCGGCTTCGAGTCAAGTTGGAGCCGAACGTTGACGCAATCGTCGTGTCCAATCTGTGGCTAGCGTTAGCCTTCGCCGATGACATCTCTATCGGCGCTATGGCTCTTTTATCTAGGAGGTGTTACGGATGGCGCCAGAGCGCCGCGCTCTGGCGAGCGATTGGTAGGTAGACGAAAAGCTAGCGGCCTTCGTCTATCTAGCTCTACCTGCTGTTGAAAAGCGTTCGGACGCCGAATGGCAGACGCGGGCTTAGGTCGTTCGAAGGCGTTCGAAGAGTGAGTAGAGACAAAGGCAGCTAGCTTTGCGTCTACTCACTAGTCATTCTAACCAGAGCCAACACCTCCTAGATAACAAAACCGTAGTGCTGACAGAGATGTCGCCATCAGCGAAGGCCAAAGCTGGGCACAGATTGAACTCGACGATTCCGTCAACGTTCGGCTCAAACTTGACTCGAAGCCGAGCGCTGAAGTAGCACTCGTTTCCCATCTGCGTCCAGCGTTTTCCTTCGACCGCTGGTGACGCAAAAATGTCAGCACTACGGCCTTGTCTTCTAGGCGGTGTTGCTGGAGCTCGGTGTCCTGCCGTCCGCACGCGCCACCGCCTTCTCCTATCCCTCGCTTTCTACCCGCATAGCCATGGAGTGCAAGGTAGCGCTGCTTCCAGCATACCAATTATGCTGCGCTTTATGGGAATTAAGTGCCGGACCGCTTTGGCCTGTGCAATAATCACACCTCCCCTTCTAGCCCACCGTAGCTTTGCTCCACCACTGTGGTCAACACACGCGGTTCAATGCAACATATTTTCTCGTAGATTCGGTTTTCCGTCTAAACTGCTCGCCTCTTCTAAAATTTACACGTGAGGCAGTTACACGTTATTGCCATGAGAACATGACTTCAAATTTACAAGAAAAAACAGCAATATTCTTCTTTTATGTAGTTCTGACTCTTTCGTAGGCAGAGAACTGGCTTTTTTAAAATAAGAAGCTATTTCTTCTCAAATACCCATTCTTGCTGCTTTTCCCTCAGCTCTTTTACTGACAGGAATTATAAATAAATAGGCTTTGAACTTTCCCTTTTACTCGATCGAATTATTCCATTCAAATTCTGAATACGCTTTTCAGCTGCCCTATGGATGAATTGAAACACTTCAAGAACGCTTTGTTATCAGAGAATTTAAGGAAGCGGAGATAAAAAAGGTCGTAAACGTGTGCACTGGGAGAAAGGCATGACCATGGTTAATATACAAAAAGATGATACATCAGAGACGTCCGAATAGTGAATCCAATCGGAATAGTGCTGCATCATTCATACCCTTCACAGCACAAGGGCAAGCCACGGCATATGTTTTTGGCGTGTTGGAGGTAAGGATGAAAGAGAGCTGGTCGATTAGAAGTAACATTCGCACACCCCTACGATACACCCGAACTTGGGACAAACATACTAAAGAGAAAAAGAAACGCGCGATTCTGACCTGTGTGTAAACCAGCGGAACGGTGACCCAGTCGTAACACCAGAGCAGGCTGCACTTGTCGCGGAAGCTGTTCAACTCCTCGAGCACATGCTTCACTGGAGGGCCGGGCGGCAGCCTGCCCTGCTGTACGGCCATGTTCACCAGGTTGACGAACCACACGCAGGGTAACCAGTGCCGGTTCGCCTTGTTGGGCATGGCCTCGTACAGCACCCGCTCGTCCGTTGTCATGAAGCCGGCCTCCACCAAATGCTGGGTACTCGGGAAGCGCTTCTTGACGGCACCGCTGACTGCTTGCAGAACGAGCACCAGCCCCAGATTGGCGTAGCGCATCATGGTGCGACGCAAGAGTCTACCGTGGTCGTCGCCTCCGGCCACGTAGGCCAGCACAACGTAGGCCAACTTGTCCGGCCACGGAATGCTGGTGAACTGGTCCCACCAGCGACCGGCAATAAACGTCACGTAGAACCCTAACACGAACGACAGCGGGATGTGCTCCAGGGCGCGGTCGCTGTACAGCGCCAGCTGTTCGAAGAGTCTACGCTGCGATTTGTCCATGATCATCCGGTACCATACCGCGATAGCCGTGAAGGCCGCGCCGTAGACCAGCAGCTCTTTGTAGATGAGCTTGTAGACGGAACCGCGCCATCGGATTACCAGCTTCCAGAAGCCCAGGAGCGTACTCGTGGACACGTCCGCCTGGTACGCGATCGTCATGGCCCGAGAGGACGAGATATGGCTGGCGTCCGCCGAGGGCAGCGGCTGGTGCTGCTTTCGGCACCCGGGCAGAAGCCGCGGCCGACGTGCGATGCCGCTGAGGTGCACGCGCGGGCAGCTCGGTGCAAAGGCTCACTGTGATCTACAAGCTGAACTGCCGGGCGGCATGGCTTATCACTCAGGAGCCACGTGGAGAGCTGAAGCCTCGACACACGCAGATTCTTGGCGCGCGGCTATGACGAAAGAGAGAAAAAGATAGAGATAGAAAAACCTTTATTCTAGCTATGACGAGGTGTTTGTTCGTGTTGGCTACTGGTGCCGCTTCTTTGACTTCAGTACTTGTGTTGTTGTTTTCGTCTTCTTAGGATTGGGGGAGGGGGTAGATGAAATGTTCCCGATAGCATTTTGTCAAATGTTTCGTCTCCACCGCTCAGGTGCGCGGTATCTGAAATAGTAAATCACTCCATGACGTCGTGATAGTTACTTCTTGGTAGTTATGCCTGATTCCTGAATATATTCTTCAGAATGTAGTCTATGGAAAATTCAAAGAAGCAGTAATGAGATAAAAAAAAATAATACTAGCGTTGTAGACCAGTGCTGCGGAGTTGTCCCTCCGAAGTTGAAATGATTCCGGAACAATTGGGCATCAACTAGTATGTGCTACGCTGTCAAGGCTACGGGCAGCTCCCACAGCGTAACTTCCTCTTGCAATCGCACGCGCCCGCGCAAGCTGCAACACCGTCGAAGATACGTTTGCCTTGTTGACAATGTTGCACAGTGTAGCGATGTTTGACAGTTGACTCTCCTACGGTCTGCTGACGCCACGGTATCGCACGGTCAAAGTGACTTTCGTAACAGCATTATTGCACTTAATGAGGGCTTAATTGTCTGCCCGGCTCATGCTCCTTCGATGGTGAAAGTGGCGACCGCAGTGAAGCAAGCAAAAAATGAAAAGTTGTAGAAAGACAAGATGTCGTTCCCGCTCGTCACTCAATGGGCAAATTTCGCTACGCAAACCTGAGTTCCAGGAACGCACAAGAGCATCGATTATTTTTTAGGTTAATTGTGAAGATGTAATGAAGGTCGTACGGCCCTTGAATGTTCCCTGAGAGCGCTGGGGATTTTTAATAAAATCCAGAAATATGACCCTTTTGACTGTTTCTAGCGCATTCTGAGGCAATCTAGAAATTTAAATTGGTCAGATGACAAAAATGGCAAAACAAATGGTAGTACGTAGTAGAAGTGTCTAATATCTTAATTTTAAGATCCTGACGGGAAGCCTAAACGTCTTGGTATTGCGTATTTGTGTAAATAAATTTGACAGGGTCGTTTCCGCTAGATTTATTTTCAGTGGGTTCAACGAGATGGCGACACCGGCACCAAACGCCTCTAGGGAGGCTCAAGTGAGGGTGGGTGCAACTGCTAGATCGGGGATCACGGGACATGGACGCCATTTAATTGCTAATTTTTGCTGGGAGTCTATGGGGCAAAGGGTCGTTTTCTTTCCTAACTCAGGTCATAGAGGCCTATTAAGGTGCTTGAATAATTTACTCAAGGTATAAATGATTACATTTCCATAGCCACCAGTTTTGTTGCGATAGGTGAAGTATTTTTTTAACACGAAAAATGGGAAATTCCGCCATCTTGGACGTTGCTTCTTGTCTGGCTCTCGACGTTTGCAATTCTGGGAGCGAGAAGGAAGCGAGAGAGGCTGCGCCAAGGCGTTCGTTGCTTGCAATGGGAGGAGGAGAGAGGAGGAAAAGCGCATGGAGCAACAGAGTTGCAACAGAGCGGGCGCCTGCTCTCGTGCAGGCAACATTGGCGCATATCCTTTATCGAACCCTCTCCCTCAGGCGCCACCATTAAATTGCAAACGCTCTCCAGGTTTTGAGTTGCGCCCACCCTCACTTGAGCCTCCCTAAACGCCTCAAGCCAGAGCATTTGTTGTTTCTGTTTTCACGAGCTTGCGCGGACGGCGACTCGTGGCACGAGTCCTTTGCTTGACACTGCCGAGATCAATTTTTGCAGTCTTGCCGGTGAATGGTAAATGGTCTACAAACAAAACTTCTATCGTCACAAAGAAAAAGAAGACAAATGAGAGGCAGCACATGTATGGCGTAGTGATGCCACGGGAATGCGCCGCCGCGCACCGAGCTTTCACTTTCAACGATAAAATGACCACGGCCGATGCCACGACCTATGCAGCCAATCTAACTGTAAGAACGTGCCACGTAACTTCGAGCTCAGCGAGTCCCTAGGTCACGCCGAAGAGTCGCACGCCCTCAGTAAAGCCCCTTGATGTGTTTGCTTGTCTTGCAAGCGGCATCAAATCGTCAAATGCGCCTATGCATGATCCCGTGCCTTGTGCGACACTTGGAAGCAAATGGCAGTACAGCACTAAAATGAAAGGCAATGGAGCGGCCAAAAAGTATACGGTCTGTTTGCAAAAAAAAAAAAATCTTTTAGCTTTTTCACTTTGCTGAAGAAGACCAGCGAAGCTTTCCTATAGTGGGAATGAAGTCATGGCCGGCCGCGAGTAGGCAAGCCAGGGTGGAAAGGCTCGAAAGGTTGCTGCCGTCGCTCATGGATGGCGGTAGCTGTGCAGAGTTTGGTGTCATCATTTGTTTGCTGACGGACGCGATCCTGGGGAAACTAACCCTTAACAGCTCCGCTGTAAAAAAGTGATTTTAGTGTTTGCCGTTCGTGGCGAGCCTTTTGCAGATCACGTGATCAATCTCTCCAGTGCCACCAAGCGCTTTGTGCGACCACCGCTCGGTTTAGTAGAATCAGTGGCCTGGGGAGGCGCTTTGCATATATTTGGAGTTGACTATGCATCTGATAACGTCAGCTTACGCTGCTTTGGCTGCGGTAACACAATAAGCTCGGTTCCAGGGGTGGGGATGGGCCCCGTGTCCCCATACCTGGAAGTTGAAAGGAATGGAATCCCCGAAAACTTTAATTTCCCGAAATAGAGTTGGAATGAAATAAAGGTGCTCATTCCGCAAACCCCGTTGTAACCGTAGACACGTCCTGTTTGGCTCGCAATGGCAGGCATGCCTGCCAATGAGAGCTTCACAGTGCTTCGGTATGTGCGCATATATACCAAAGGTGTCTGGGATACAAACTTACAATCACACTTAAGCAGTCCGCATTCATTTCACGTCACGTGGAGCTGCCGAATGATTATTGATGGTCTCATAAAAAAAAGCAAGTGTCGTGTTCTTAATTTCATAATTTACTGGTATCACCGGTCGGTGTAACAAAGGTTTCAATCTTTCTGTCTCTCTCCCTCTTCGTTGAAAAAGGAATTGAATGCTGTTTTTCTTGTTTCTAAGAAGAAGAAAAAAAAAACAAAAAAACAACGTTGTACCTAGAGTTTTCACTAGCTCTACATTAAATGGGCAAAGGAAGCACGCTTTTTGGTATCTTCTGTTTTTCAATTAGATTACAAATCATGGCTTCCGAGATGGAAATTATTTCTGCATGTCCGCTAGGTGTTTAGAACTCAGGTATAACGTTTAATTAAGTGGAGTTCCTACTTATATTTTAGAGCGCAGCTCTTAGGCGCCCGTTCCCGGCTTGAGCGGCGTCGCCGTCGCCGTCGGCGTCGGCGTAACCGCGACTAACCCTCCTAACCCTCGTGAAGGTTACGAGGGTTAATAACCCTCGTAACCCTCACGAGGGTTACGAGGGTTAGTTACCCTCAAAAGGGTTACCCTCACGAGGGTCACGAGAGTTATGAGAGTTACCCTCACGAGGGTTATGAGAGTTACCCTCACGAGGGTCACGAGAGTTACCCTCACGAGGGTCACGAGAGTTACCCTCACGAGGGTTACTAGGGTTACCCTCACGAGAGTCACGATGGTTACCCAGGTCACGTGACCCCCCTCCCAAGGTCACGTGACCCCCGTTGACGTCATCGCCACTGATGACGTCACTGGCATCCGCATCGTCATCGTCATCATCACTGATGACGTCATTAGTGACACCGGCATCCACATCGTCATCGTCATCATCACTGATGACGTCACTGATGACGTCATCAGCATTGTCACGTGACCCCCCAAGGTCACGTCACCCCCCGCCACCCGAGGTCACTTGACCCGCCCCTCCAGTGCCCTTCCCTTATCCTCCTCAAGAGCTGCGCTCTAATTCTGCGTTACAGGGAGTTGTAAACGGCATTCATTTTAGAGCGCAGCTCTTAGGGGCCTGTTCACCGGCTTGAGCGGCGTCGCCGTCGCCGTCGGCGTCGGCGTAACCAAGGTCACCCCAAGGTCACGTGACCCCTAAGGTCATCCCAAGGTCACGTGACCCCCAAGATCACCACAAAGGTCACGTGACCCCCAGAGGTCACGTGACCCCTCCCCTAGGGTCACGTGGCCCACAAGGTCACGTGACACCCAAAGTCACATGACTCCCCAAGTCACGTGACCCCCCAGGTCACGTGACCCCCCGAGGTCACGTGACCCCCCACAGGGTCACGTGAACCCCTCCCCCGAGAACACGTGACCCCCCGAAGTCACGTGACACCCCTCCGAGGTCACGTGACCACCCCCAGGGTCGCGTGACCCCCGCTGAGGTCACGTGACCTCCCCGATGACGTCATCGTCACTGATGACGTCACCGGCATCTGCATCTGCATCGTCATCATCATTGATGACGTCATCAGTGACGTCACTGATGACCTCACTGGCACCCGCATCGTCATCATCACTGATGACATCATCAGTGACGTCATGATGACGTCACTGACATCCGCATCGTCAACGTCATCATCACGGATGACTTCATCAGTGACGTCACTGATGACGTCACCGACATCCGCATCGTCATCATCGCTGATGACGTCATCGGAGTCCGCATCGTCATCGTCACTGATGACGTCATCAGTGACGTCACTGGTGACATCATCGGCATCATCACGTGACCCCCCAAGGTCGCGTGACCCCCCCAGGTCACTTCACCCCCCCAGTACCCTTCCCTCCTCCTCAAGAGCTGCG